GTTATACCAAAAGCAAATCCTCCCTTCCATTCCCTTCCTTCTACCTGCTACCTTTTCACCTTACTCTTTGAAACAAAGTCCAAACTTCTGGATTTTTCTACATATTTCATAGCATCAAAATATTTAATTGGATATTTTTGAATAAAGCTTACCTGAAGCTACTGGTATGTTACAACCAGCAGCCTTTAGGGCATTAACAGCATCGGTGACTCTTGCAGGATATACACAAACCGCTCCAACAGTAATACCTGCAAAAGCCACAGTTGACTCCTTCATAAACAGATTTCCACCTTCACGAGTGCACTCCGTATTATGAGCACACGTGCACTGTTCGCACCTCCCACTTCTGCATTCTTACAAGGATCTTAAGCACCTACACTAGGGTTGTCTGTTATATTGCTCAAACGGTTAAGGTAGTTCTTCCCTCATGTTCCTCCACCTGACCCTGGGAGGAGGTTTGCATTAGCAGGAGTTAAAACGCCAAGATTTTTGTCGACAGATTCACTGTTAATTGCCAACACATAGTTAGGACATGCTTAGTCAGCAAATTACTGTGAGAGAAACCACACTGCCAAGCTCTGTCCTTACTTCTTGAGCCAGACTGAGCCCAGCAGCAGTCTTTACATTAATGCAGTCCTACTGCATTTCTAGTTAAAATGCTATTCTCTCAAAGTCTCAGATAATTGACCTCATATTTAATACTTCAACAGTCTGAAGAGTCCATAAATCTAAGTTTTAAAAAAAGACTTATCTTTGATATTTTATGTGTATGGCTTAAGATGAGAGGCCTGATTCCCTTTTGGTTCTACATCGTATGACTTTAGTCAGTGGCCTGTGTAAAACTGAAGTATTTCAATAGTAAAAGTATGCCCCAAATGTCACTGGGATTTTCTTTTTGTTACATCAACATAAGGCTAACATAACAAGACATCAGTGACACATCAGTGATTACATCTGGAAAAAATCAGAAATGGTAATCAGACATCAAGAGGGTTTATTGATAGTTATATTGACAGTATAATTTGCTCTGGTTTTATTGTCTTCAGTCTTGGGTGTAACAGTGGGAATTCAGATGGAGCCTGCTTGAGTAATGTCACTGAAAGTTTTACCATTAGCTCTTAAGGGCTCTCTTCAACTCCATCAACTCTGTTGACTTAGCTGGGAACTCTGTGTGTGTGCATGTGCATATGTGTGTGTGTATACATGATACACGCACAACCACATACACTCATTACAGGACTGATTCCTTAAAGTAGACTGGGCGGCATAAATGCGTCCCATCTTAACTACTGAAACAACCACGTAACAGATATGCTTTCTGAAGGAATAATAACATGCTTAAGACTGTGGAATGCATCTTTTCTGACAAGTGAAGTGGCAGACTCAGTAGATAAATACAGATACAGCAGCTAAGGAAGAAATCCAAAGGAGTCACATGAACACTTCCCCCTTCTCCAATTTACTAAGGACATCAGCAGATTAACAGAATACTCAATTAGTTTCACCTTAGTGCACTGTTATTAAGACATACACTGACGTTACACACTTTGGCTTCCACATCAAATATGCTCATTAGGTACCATAACTTGCAGTGTCACCCTGAGTCCATGCTTCACTTTGATTGCCAAACTGAGAATGGATTATTTCTCTCCTTGTATTCTTATATTAACTCAAAGGAATAGATATTTCGCGTCTAGAACTTAAGACAGTTGCTTTGAATAAGACCACATAGTACCTAGTTTGTTCTCTCAGGACTATTAGTTCTGCAGAGCTGCCTAATGTAACCGCTTCCATTATAGGAAGAAGAGGCCATTTTTACACCTTTCTGACAACGGAAAGCATAATGAGGAAATGTAGACATTTTCTCTACAAAATACACAAAAACTATCATACCTTTATCATGCATGTCCAAAGCTTTCAGCAGATCCTCTCTGATGGGATGCTTTGCTTTAAAACACAGTCTGTGAACATTTGAAGGAGTATCATCACCAGAAAGAGTGGTAAGGTCTATGCAGGTGACAGCTTTCAGCAGCCAAGCAGCCTGCAAAGGGCGTGAAGCAAGGAATATAGTATTTCAGTTTACGCTTCCTAAGCCAAACAGACTTAGAAGATGCAGGAATCAGAAGAAGCTGGGCTCTCACTCTGAGGATATGTGTGGGATATAACATGGAAGATATGCAAAGAAAGGTTTATGACAGACAGGATTGGCAGAAACTTGCTTATGTTTTGAGCAGTATCTAATGGTACAGAAAGGACTTGGAATCAAAAGTCCATGCTCTCAGAACCAAAAGATCAAATTCCAATTTTTGGTGCAAAACCTAATGGGACTCTGTAAGAATCAGACAAGCACAAAAAGCATCTTGTTTCAAATTTAATTCTGTAAGACAAAGACGAAAACATCAGCTATATGAGGAACCTCATTGTTGTAATATGCTCCATTCTATATGGTATGTCTGTATCTTTAAGGCTTCTATGCACGAGAAATTATACACATGCTTCAAGAGGAGCACAGGTCTGCAATTTTCAGTGACCAGATGAGTCTACACATCAGCAATTTGCACACTTGCAAGTTTGCACATTTCGCCTGCTGTGAGAGTGAAACATGGAATCAGTGAGGGGTAAGAACCCAGACTTCTTAAAGCTTAGGGTCTAGACTACAGATGTTTCCACTTCCTTTTGCAAGAATCAGGAATAAAAAAAATCAGTAATTATTTGGTACAAAAAAACCAAAAGCAAGAGCTAAGTGATAAGGCTACAGCACTCTTTAGGTGTAAATGCTACAGAATTTTAAAAGACATTAATCGAAGAATGGAACAGAAGAACAACTAAAAATGTTTTGAGCCTTTTTGCCGAACAAAAATTGAGCTTAAGACATTATTTTGAAATATTTGTTGAAGGCCTTCTAGCAAATTCTCACTTACAGTGACGGCTTCACTGAAAACTGATATCTCTTACTGGGCACTTGTTCAACAAGGGGAGAGTTTGCAATGTCAAAGTCCATTCAAGTCCATAAAGTCCTTCTCTGACTGCTCTGCTCTGCTCTGTGACACGATTTGCCACTATAAGCAGCAAAGCTTGTTGTTTCTGCATGGAGTTAAGAGTGTGCAAATCTTAAGAGGCTGGCCAGCCCTGAAATCACAGTAAGTGTTACACTGAAAGCTGCTTTGGGGTGACTGAACAGAGTAATGAACCGTTACTGGTGTCTGTTAGTCTAAGCTTGACTGCTTGTTTCTAACCAGTTTCTACTTTCACCCTATAATACTTCAAAAGGGTTTTCCACTTTAAACGGTTTTAAGTTTCTTTTACTTGGATTTTTTTATCCTTCGTTCAAGGGAATTTTTGTCTCATCTCTTATGTCATGAATCATAAAGTCATCAAGACAGATGTAGTCAAAGGGTTCCAAGAACTGGTACGAACTCCATTTTTTTAACAAGAGTTTTTCAAAGCTGTATTTTGGGAAATGGGCTTCAAAATTTGAATCTGTGGTGCTACTTACATTCAAACATGTAAAGGTTCAAAATCGTGTCTGTGAAATAAACATTACATGACTATCCTGCAGTGTTCAAATACAGGAGAGATGCTTCTGGCGTTCTCTAAAGTAAAATCTTGCTTGAGTAGCTCAGTACCACTGTTACTACACAGGAGAGTGGAGAACTCTTAGTAATAATTAAACATTTGTCCTACGGCCATGTTGAGGGAGTGACACTACACTTTCTTCCCAATGATTCTTTGTCATCAAAGCCTGTGGCTCTCTATGTCTTTGTTCCTTATATAGTAACTTCAGTCAAATCAGAAGACTTACTTTTTACATTACTGCACCTGCTGTATCTGAAAATAGCCAAGGTTAGGGAATACCCTCCGGATTTTCTCACTGACACTGTTTCCCAACCCAGCACCACTGGACTGCTAAACTTGGTATCAAGTGACTTTTTATGCATAAGAAACTCTTGAGAAATGCTGAGCTGGTGTCTAACTTTCCTCAATTTATGTCCACATTTTATTTAATCTTAACATTCAAAGCACAGACTTTCAGGTTCATGTAACCGGCAGGAAGGCTTTTTCTATCACCTTCCGGTAGGATCTTACAGCTGCATCACATTATCCCCAAACTGTCGTCCACAAGATCTGGGCTCACTGTGAACGCAGCTTCAGCCATCCCAGAATGGCTGCCTGACACGCTAGGCTCAGGATGCCAACTATTTTGAACAGCTTTTTTAAGAATTAAGGATAATCAGATGATTCTTGCTCTGTGGTATTACGTTGCACTGTTAAGACTGACCCTTCATTGTCTCCTTCCTCCCGCTTCCAGGTTTCCAGTTACTGTTGCAAGGAAACGACTTGTTTAGCGTGCAGAGGGGAGGAATCACACACATTTGCTTGCAGAACAGCTGTCTGGTGAATGAAGAACCAATTTGTCCTTTGGACAGCAGTTACAACTCCATGGCTGAGAGCTCTCTGGGAGCTCTAGGTCTGCTGGGTGGCATTTCTCAGACCTTGCCCTTGGCTGAACACTGCCAAAGCACTGAAACCAGCTCTGCTTGCCATTCCCCTCTCAGCATTTTCCGCCCTGCCGCTCGGGCGGCAGAAGCCAGCACGTGGCCATGCCTCACCTGCTCTGCTTTGCAGAACACATTAGCTTACGTGGCTGGCCTCGTGGCTTTGCATTATGATTCTCATGTACAAACTGGAGAAACCAAAGTGCACACCAGGCCAGCACCTGTCAATTCTGCCAGGAGGGCAGTAAGTGCAGAGGTTGAGGGTAACTGCTAAGACACTGTAAACATGTGCGTTCAATGAATACAAGTCAGCCTTGAAGTAAAGCTCATTTGCACCACTGGCTTTAGCAATGGCTTATGTGAACCTATTTTATACTAAGATGGAGAATAGCCCATCATTTACCTTATCTCAGGAGCTGAGAAGTCAGCCCCCTTAACATTACTGGGCTCTTTCTTTCCACCCCTCCCCCCCCCACCTTGCTCCCTCCAAGTGCCACAGCCAGTCAGGATTTTTGAGTTTTAGGTAAGGACTAGTTAAGCAAAGAAATCACACATGTTGGGGATGTTTAAGTAAAGAAAAATCATCCAGGTAGGTCAAACTTGACAGGGACCATGATCATATCTTACAGCTTTAAAATTAAAAAATAAGAAGGCAGCATGCAGAGAAGTCTGTCTGGGAAACACAATAAATGTGGTGGGATAGTAACATGCAATTTAAGCCACTCATGAATAAAGATGACTTAAATTCATTTGTGGTTTTGCCACTCATGAGTTATAAGGTTTTTAACTTGTTTGGATAAATGCATCACCTTATTCCATCCCATCATCATCAAATACAAATTATTAAAATAAGACGTGGACAAGCACATCTTTTAAGTTTACATGCATCTTGAAAAAAATTCAATATTGCAGCCTGGAGAGGGAGAGTGACTGCTTTAAAAATACAGGAACAGAATGCATAAAAAGACCACTTACTTGCCAATTACCTTTCACGGTTCTCCATTTTTTAATTCGTTCTGCATGCCTCACCACTGCGGGTCGATTCACATGCACTTTTGAGATCCAGCCAAGTTCTGGGGAGAGAGAAAGAGAAGAAAAAAAAAGTCTCATCTATTCCTCTGTTCTTTTAATATACGGTGTGGGACTTCAGAAGAAAGTTGTAACTTGGTTTGAGACCTCTGAAGAGCATGTTGTGCTTTTATGTCCCTTTAAGGGCTTGTGCATTTATCTCCAGTCCAAAATATCATAATAGCATTAACTTCTGTTAGGCTATGATCTGTGAACCGGATGTTTCACATAGCATGCTTTGTTTGCCATTACAACTGAATTAACTTACTGCTGATGAGACACACTATGTCGCCAGTCCTGGTCTACAAAGTTTATTATACATGCTACATATAAAAAAACCCCACAAAACAGCCTTCTGCCATTGCTTGCTGATTTACTCCCTGATTCCAGAATATGGTAACCTTTATACAGTCCTTTGCTTGCCTGCTGTCACCCAAGATACAACAGCATTTTCTGTGTGCACGAACCTTTGTTTACAAGCAACTGTACCCCACACAGTCAGCAAAACCTCTGGACAGACCCCTGCATAACAAAGCATTTGAGTTGTTATTGTCTAGAACTAACTTTACTGAATTTGCTACTAGGACCTGACTAACTGCATGTTTCCAAAAGCACGGAATTCCTGGGCAACACATCTGCCTGGAAGCTGCCGAGACGCATGCCTGCCTGAGAAGTGCTCACCTTGCCAAGCACCCTGGAGGACTCACGGAAACACCTTCAATATGAGAATTCCTCCAGATGCCCACTGCAGACAGCCTGGCTCACAATTTCAATGAATTTCAGTAGCCATGAATAACGACCAGACCCAAAAAGAAGCATATGGTCAATGTTTACTAAAATAATGAGAATCTAAAAATAGAAGCACTAAAAATTGGACACTGCTTAATGAACGGTAACTGACTGATAAAGCAGAACTGAGAGTTCAGGCTCTTGAATCTTGAAATTTCTGCTTAGTATGATAAACCAAAAGTGTAATTTTGAATGTTAATAAATACAAACTGCTCACAGAAGTATACAGGAAAAAGAAATCAGAATATCTTTAAAATTTCTCATGTCCCAAAACATAAATAGTGCATGGAGCTCCACCTGCAGTTGGATGAGGAGCTCACTGAGAGCTTATGGGTCAGGGTTAAAGGGAGGGCAGGGACAGGTGACGTTATACTCGGGGTCTGCTACAGGCCACCCAACCAGAACAACTGAGCAGATGAGGCCCTTTATAGACAGATAAGAGCAGCCTCACGTTCACAAGCCCTGGTCCTCATGGAGGACTTCAATCACCCCGACATCTGTTGGAGAGACAACACAGCAGGGCATAAGCAATCCAGGAGGTTCCTGGAATGTGTTAATGATAACTTCCTTCTCCAAGTGATAGAGGAGCCAAGGAGGAGAGGTACTATGCTGGACCTTGTTCTCACCAACAAGGAGAGGCTGGTGGGGAATGTGAAGCTAAAGGGCAGCCTTGGCTGCAGTGACCATGAGATGGTGGAGTTCGAGATCCTTAGGGCAGTACAGCTCACTACCCTGGACTTCAAGAGAGCAGACTTTGGCCTCTTCAAGGATCTGCTTGGTAGAGTACCACGGGATAAAGCCCTGGAGGGAAGAGGGGCCCAAGAATGCTTGCTGATACTCAAGGATCACCTCCTCCAAGCTCAGAAGCAATGCATCCCAACAAAGAGGAAGTCAGGCAAAAATGCCAGGAGGCCTGCAGGGATGAACAAGGAGCTCCTGGACAAACTCAAACACAAAAAGGATGCCTACAGAGTGTGAAAGCAAGGACAGAGAACCTGGGAGGAATACACAGAAATTGTCCAAGCAGCCAGGGATCTAGTTAGGAAAGCCAAGACCCTGATAGAATTAAACCTGGCCAGGGACATCAAGGGCAACAAGAAAAGCTTCTATATGTCAGTGGCAAAAGGAAGACTAGGGATAATGTGGGCTCGCTCTAGAAGGAAATGGGAGACCTGGTTAGCCAGGAAATGGAGAAGGACAAGTTACTCAATTACTTTTTTGCCTCAGTCTTCACTGGCAAGTGCTCCAGCCACACCACCCAAGCCACAGAAGGCAAAGGCAGCAGCTGGCAGAATGAAGAACTGCCCACTGTAGGAGAAGATCAGGTTCAAGACCATCTAAGGAACCTGAAGGTGCACAAGTCCATGAGACCTAATGAGATGCATCCGCAGGTCCTGAGGGAACTGGCAGATGAAGTGGCTAAGCCACTATCCATCATATTTTAGAAGTCGTGGCAGTCTGGTGACGTTCCCACTGACCAGCAAAAGGGAAACATAACCCCCATATTTTAAAAGGGGAAAAACGGAAGATCCATGGAATTACAGGCCAGTCGGTCTCACCTCTGTGCCTGGCAAGAATATGGAGCAGATTCTCCTGGAAACTATGCTAGGGCACATGAAAAATAAGGAGGTGATCAGTGACAGCCAATGTGGCTTCACTAAGGGCATGTTGTGCCTGACAAATTTGGTGGCCTTCTATGACGGAGTTACAGTGCTCGTGGATAAGGGAAGAGCAACTAATGTCATCTACCTGGACTTGTGCAAAGCATTTGACATTGTCCTGCACAACATCCTTGTCTCTAAACTGGAGAGACATGGTTTGATTGAAGGACCACTCGGTGGATCAGGAATTGGCTGAATGGTTGCACTCAAAGAGTCACGGTTAATGGCTCAATGTCCGAGTGGAGACCAGTGACAAGTGGTGTTCCTCAGGGGGTGGTATTGGGACTGGTGCTATTTAACAACTTGGTCAGCGACATGGACAGAGGGATTGAGCGCACCCTCAGCCAGTTTGCCAATGACACCAAGCTGTGTGGTACGATTGACACACTGGAGGGAAGGGAGGCCACCCA